TTAGTTTTTTTTTTTTTTTTTTTTCCCCCTGCAATTTCCTTTTTCAATAGGGTTCGATCCCCACAAGATCCCACTAAGCAAACAATCGAATGTGGGGGGCTTTTGTTTTAGTGGAAGAACACAAAAAAGGGTCCATTTTTCCAACGTCATGCACACTCAGATCAAAAAGTATTGGCAAACTTGGCTCCCGTTCCACATTTTTAGTCATCACCAATGCCCACTAAAACCAGCGATTTGTCCCCTAATTACACTGTACAAAACAACTTGTTCACAGTCGTCTCAGATCCTCTAGAGTCCCTGTCCTCCTCGTTGGCAACTCACTGCATATTTTGGCAACGAATCTATACACGTGTTTCCACGCACAGAAAGACTCTCCACTTCTCTCAACTCTCTGATGTGTACAAAAAACCTAATCCCGAAATATTAGTTATTAATCTCCCTCATACTCCGCGCGGTTCCCATTGATTACTACTCATACTCTAATTTAAAGCATTTTCATTCATATTAATCACATGCCTTAAGGGATGTGACAGATTTTAATTTTTGTCATTCAGATAAGATAGATTCAATTACACTTAACTATTAATCGGAACAAAAAGCATGGTTTAACTGGTCAAAGTATTAAATTTAATGAAAGGAAAAGCATATGGTGACTAGGTACGTAATAATTTAAAGAAGTCAGTGTTGAATAATGTTATAATTTCTGAATTTTTTTCATTGTTTATGGGAAAGGAAAACGCACTTGCATATAATGAAGTTGATCGTACTGTTTTTTTTTGCTGTGAATTGTGGAAGATGAGTTAGCAGTGCAGAAGCAATAACAATGGGGGCCGGGACGTGCATGGGTTCCAACTTAAACTTGATTTATTAGCAGATGTATTTGTAAGTGCTTTTTCCACTCCATTATGTTACACTAATTTTATTTCTTTATCAGGAATATTCTCTGAGTAGATACCTTACACTAAAGCTAATCCATTTTTTAGGTGTTTAATAAGGAGAGAAGATCTGGGAATGAAAAGAACAGACACTTTCATACTTAATTAAAAGAGCTAACAGTGTGGTGATTTAAGTTTATATTTAATTTGACTAATAAAATTGTAACAGGTAGATCATAATCCTTTTTCAATTAATCTCTTACCACAAAAATGTTAGGTATGATAATGATATGTCATAACCTTAACATCGTAACCTGAGATTGCTTGTGAAGTCTTCAAAATANATTGTCCCTTAACTCTAAAGCATATCTTCTTGGCTCTTGAGCCTTTGACTTGACGTTTGATTCAATTTAAGGACAGACTTTTTAATGAGAACCACGTTTGAGCAGCCTCTTCGAAGGTCCCTGGAGTGTTTTTTCTGTTCTAGCTCTTCTTGTACTGTTTATTCTTTTTAGTTTTTTTTTTTTTTTTTTTTCCCCCTGCAATTTCCTTTTTCAATAGGGTTCGATCCCCACAAGATCCCACTAAGCAAACAATCGAATGTGGGGGGCTTTTGTTTTAGTGAAAGAACACAAAAAAGGGTCCATTTTTCCAACGTCATGCACACTCAGATCAAAAAGTATTGGCAAACTTGGCTCCCGTTCCACATTTTTAGTCATCACCAATGCCCACTAAAACCAGCGATTTGTCCCCTAATTACACTGTACAAAACAACTTGTTCACAGTCGTCTCAGATCCTCTAGAGTCCCTGTCCTCCTCGTTGGCAACTCACTGCATATTTTGGCAACGAATCTATACACGTGTTTCCACGCACAGAAAGACTCTCCACTTCTCTCAACTCTCTGATGTGTACAAAAAACCTAATCCCGAAATATTAGTTATTAATCTCCCTCATACTCCGCGCGGTTCCCATTGATTACTACTCATACTCTAATTTAAAGCATTTTCATTCATATTAATCACATGCCTTAAGGGATGTGACAGATTTTAATTTTTGTCATTCAGATAAGATAGATTCAATTACACTTAACTATTAATCGGAGCAAAAAGCATGGTTTAACTGGTCAAAATATTAAATTTAATGAAAGGAAAAGCATATGGTGACTAGGTACGTAATAATTTAAAGAAGTCAGTGTTGAATAATGTTATAATTTCTGAATTTTTTTCATTGTTTATGGGAAAGGAAAACGCACTTACATATAATGAAGTTGATCGTACTGTTATTTTTGCTGTGAATTGTGGAAGATGAGTTAGCAGTGCAGAAGCAATAACAATGGGGGCCGCGACGTGCATGAGTTTCCAACTTAAACTTGATTTATTAGCAGATGTATTTGTAAGTGCTTTTTCCACTCCATTATGTTACACTAATTTTATTTCTTTATCAGGAATATTCTCTGAGTAGATACCTTACACTAAATTTATTCCATTTTTTAGGTGTTTAATAAGGAGAGAAGATCTGGGAATGAAAAGAACAGTCACTTTCATACTTAATTAAAAGAGCTAACAGTGTGGTGATTTAAGTTTATATTTAATTTGACTAATAAAATTGTAACAGGTAGATCATAATCCTTTTTCAATTAATCTCTTACCACAAAAATGTTAGGTATGATAATGATATGTCATAACCTTAACATCGTAACCTGAGATTGCTTGTGAAGTCTTCAAAATATCAAGTGAAAATAATTAAAAAAAAAAGCCCCATATCTTCGTTTGTATGGCCAATTACTGGCCATATATAAACTTGCTGAAAGTTAAAAAAAAGATTCGCAAGTCAGCAAGTGCTTTGGCCATCAAACACTTTCAAGAAAGTTTTAATTTATTATTTTCATATAGACCATCAATTCAAATTAGAAAAGGTAAACACATATTTCATAGGCTATATTTCATGAAGAATATAGGGAATTTTTTGATTTTTTTATTTCACCAATTTGGTCAATGGAATGGATAGATATAAAGCATCATAAAGTAATTATAAAAAATAAAACAAACGAAGAGCTAATTCCATTTAGAGTTTTCTTGCTTTAAGTCTACTCAAGAAATGGAGGATTTGCACACACACGTAATTAAGTTTAGAAAAATGGTATATTTTGAAACACTTTAATTATCTTATCATTTAGTTTTTAGCCCCAGTACCATAGAACCAACCTTGCAGCATTACCGTCAGGTTATTTTTTATTCGCAGATAATTGATTAATAAAATGCCACTCACTCACTGTCTTCGATTAGTTTAACCATGTTATAACTCAGAGCGCAATAACATTATGCATTGTTAATTAATTATTATCCCCCAAAAAGCCTCTGGTTTTTATTAATTCGTTTGTTTTGGAAGTGCTTTTTTAGGAATTGTTTTTGAGTACGTGATAAGGCTTGTTTAAATTGCGGTTTTGAGTATAAATTAAGTTTTTTCTCTTTAAAATAATTTTTTTTGGTTCTATGTATTTTAGTTAAACATTATGTAATTAAAGTCAATGCATATCTGATTTTTGTTTCCCCACCTTCTTATTCCATACGCTTAGTTAGAACTTAGAAGCCGTCATTCAAATTTATCACATATTTTAGCAGGCATCCAGATCAAAATTGTTGGAGAAAATAATCACTATAGATAAAAATCCGTTTTATTAAATTTTTTTCTTTTTTGAGTAATTAAGCTTTAAATAGAAAGAGAAAAAAAAATGTATAAAGAGACTTATAAAGGCAGCTAATCTACCACAGGACAAACCGTTGGGATTGGATAAAAAAATAAAAGTCTAACTAAGATAAAAGAGTTACACAAAACACTATCTCTTAATGCACATCCTACCACGGGACAAACCCTCAGGTAGGACGAAAACAAAAGCCAACCAACAAAAATTAACCCCTTAAAATTCACATTGGTAAGCCCCACCTATTACTAATGGTTCTCTTCATCTTCTTAAGAATCCGCTTTATTTAATTTCCATTTGATAAATGAACTTTATGAAGATGTTGCATAACGTGTTCCTTGTTACTTGAATTCCTCAAAAAATGTTTAATTGTTTTTAGTGTTTCTGCTTTATCGAGGCAAGTTGTATAATAAATTAAAGGGCATGATAAGAACTTAATTTGGTGACGATTTTGAAAATTGTGTTTCATACGTGTTCCTTATTTAATATCTTAATCTAATCAAGCAAATAGAGGAAACCCCTCTTAGAAATTTGTTTATCTTTGATGCTTTAGACAAGTGATTGGGTAGATTTATTTATATATATAATTTATAAAATAATGATGGTGGGGTTGGTGATTTTACTTTGACATGAAGGGGAAAATAATTATAATGTGATTCATAATATATTAATTATTTGCTATCTGTTAGTCATCGTAAGTCATAACAGAAAACATTATAATATAATTTTTTTCCACGAACAAATTCGGAATTCCGAATAAGAGAGCACTATTTCGGAAACTGCACGCTTTAGCAGCATGTTGCATGGCACGTGTATTACATAATTAATTTAATTATTGAAAATTAAATTAAAGTATGTATTAAGAAAAATATAGCTTAGCCATACATATATATATTATTCAAAAATATGTTTTAGGTGGCATGAAGGATTGATATCTGATGTATCTGATCATTAATTTTCTCATTTAATCATAAGAATACCAAAATCTTCATTTATTATTTTTAATTTTCTATAAGCATGCTAATATGATTCCATTCAAAATTAATTCGTTTAAACAATCCGCAAAAGTTCTTCAAGTGAAAATAAATGTCATAAATACCAGGTGGAGGCAAATCCTTATAAATTTTATTTTATTTTTTTATGACTGAGGGTATCTAGGTCAGTTTGCACATACCTCAATTAATCATTAAGGACTCTGAAACTATCGATTAGATATGAACTCTAGTACCACCCCTATTAGCAACCATGGAGACTCAAACTCGGATGACCTCTATATATAAAGTCTCTCTCTCTCTCTCTCTCTCTCTATATATATATATATATATCAACCCTCTTTATCCCTCTCGTCTTCATTTATTTCCTCCTTCACTCTTTACAGTAGCTTCACCTAGCTTCTCCTTCTCAAACCCAACACATGGTGAAGTTCTCAAAGGGCTCGAAGCTCATCATACCGAATGGAAAGACGCCTTCGTTAACTACTGGCAACTCAAGAACATATCAAGAAGATCAAGCTCGCCAGAAAAAATCACAAACCCCATGACCACCTCAACCCCGACTTCGGTCGCTCCATTTTCGATCCCATTCGCTTCATCGCCAACCAATTCTCAAACAATCTCTTCGGTCAAGACAACAGAGCCAGTATCATAGGTAAGAAAATTACACTGAGCATATTATGCATGCATTTCTAATCATACGGTGTGTTTTTGGGTATTAAAACCAGCGAGATTAGACAAGCTTTGGGGAATTCACTAAGCAAATATATTGTTTATGTAAATAGGCCAATAGTGTGAGAGCAAAGTGGCACGTTTTCAGGCAAAAGTGTATGGTTTGGCCGATTTTAAAACTGAATTTCCGACATTTCGGTCTCTTGAGTTAAATTTCCTCTTTGGGGACGTTTTCTTGAAATTTGTTCCTCGTCCATTCTGTTCTTTAATTTGCTTACGTACCACCGTACCAGAATACTCCTTTTTTCTATCTGGTGAGTTTGCTTTGTTGCTGCAAAAGAATGTTTACGCTTCGTCGCCGTTCGATCAAGTGGGTCCCAACTTTTAACTGTAAATCACCCACCACAAGATTAATTAAGTGGGTCGAAACTCATGAGATAAATGTCAAATGCAGATACATATCCCCATCATATTATTCAATTAATTACTTAATTATTCCAAAGTTTAAGTTTTTTTTGGTAATTAATATATATAACTATTTAGTTAAGAATGGCTTTGTAAATTTGGTCATGAAAGCAAATGAAACGGTTTCAAGGGCAATTATTTATCACGAAACCATCGTGACTTATAACAAAAAGGAAGGCGACCACATACAGAAAATAAATGAAAATGAAACATAAATGAAGGAGGTTGTTGTTGAAGTAATTTATATATTTTCATTCTTCTTCTGTTGAGGTGAAGAGCAAAGTAATGGAGACGGAGATGAAGAAGATACCAGACTGAGCTTGCAATTGCTCGAAGAAGATGAGGTTTATATATAAACAATTTTGTTTTTTTGTTTAATGTTGAATGTAAGGTTATATATATATATATGTGTGTGTGTTTCTTATGATTATTGTAGGTGAAGGCGTTTTTTGAGAGAGTTGATGAAGAGCTAAACAAGGTGAACCAATTTTACAGGACAAAGAGACTGAATTTTTGGAGAGGGGAGACATTCTCAACAAGCAACTGGAAATACTTGTAGACCTCAAACGAGTTCCGGCGACTGGCGGCGGAAGCCTACTAATGGAATTCTTCTCGTTCGTGGTCGTCTTCTGCTCGGAACTCTGATTTTTCTGGTCAGTTTGCTTTATTTAAAACTATCAAAATCAGTTCTTTAAAAATGAAACAAACAAATATGTTATGCGTACAAAAAGAGTTTTGGTCAATTTCATGAGATTGAGGGTTATAGTCATTTAAAATTAGAACTTACATGACATGGCAAGTATTATTGGCTACTATATATATATATATATATATATATATATAACTGAAGTACAATTTGTCTGTATATTTTCACTTTAACACGTGCCACAACATAAACCCAAATTATTTCAATGATCATTTAATAAGTTAATTAAATTTACAAAATCATTTGTTTGGTCTTCATTCAATTATTGTTAAAACACTGGAATTAACCTGTGGAATCTTTGGGACTACAATTGAAAAAGTGATGAACCCATCATAATAAATGTTTGTTCTGGTTTCATTTATAATTCAAAGCAACCTTTGGCCCACCAAAACTCTTCCAGAAATGAGAAGAGATGTTGAGTAATAACCCAGAAAGGTGTTTATTTTAGTTAATATTTATTGAAAAATTTATTCATCTGTATTACAAAAAAAAGGTGGTGCTTGGTCAGTGTTCATATTCGAAGGTTAATGGATAGACATGTAGCAAGAAACAAATTGATAAAAGCAATATTAATTAATGCTGTCCACCTTATGTATAACTTTCTTCAGGTTTTTATTCTTTTTCAAACGCCTTTCCATGGACAGCTTGAGGAAAGTTCCGTGAAAAAATTGTACTCATATTGCGATTGACTGTTTATGAGACTTTCTCCTACATATGATCTGTCAACGCTGAATAAAAATCATTATATAATCTTGATCATTAAGGAAAATTAGTGCAATTAATCTTCCCGCAAATTGGCGTCTTTTCGTTTTATTATCTTAATTAACTATACGTATGATGCAGAGAGCCAAGCTTCATTGAGTGAAGCTCCCACTGAATCAACACAAACGGATGATGTGATAGCAGCACTAGAGAGAAATGGTGTGAGTTTTATTAATGCTACAACGAGGTCAAAAACAAAAAAGGGGAAGCCTAAAATGGCGATGAGGATTGACATTCCAGCTGAAACACCAACACGAACAATTTCAGCTGTTACATCCGTGCTATGGGAAGATTTAGTCAATAACCCTAAAAAAGAAGGGCCGGGAGATATCATTAATAGGAAGAAGATCCAGTGTGCTGAGAAGAAGATTAGAGGAGCTTTTGTGGAGCTCTATAGAGGTCTTGGCCTTCTCAAAACTTACAGGTAATATTTTGTTTTACTTTACTCTTTTAACGATAGTGAAAATAGAACTGTTCATTGTTAATTTTTTTTTTTTTAAATATTGATGGAAATTTAATTATATACAAAGGTTGCTCATGGATTGCAACATCAACAAATATTGCTTTGAATTTACGTAATATTGAAGTATGATTTCAGACGATATATATTTTCAAATTTGGTCTANTTTTTTTGGTAATTAATAATATATAACTATTTATGTTAAGAATGGCTTTGTAAATTTGGTCATGAAAGCAAATGAAACGGTTTCAAGGGCAATTATTTATCACGAAACCATCGTGACTTATAACAAAAAAAGGAAGGCGACCCACATACAAAAAATCAATGAAAATGATCATTAAATGAAGGAGGAGGTTGTTGTTGAAGTAATTTATATATTTTCATTCTTCTTCTGTTGCAGGTGAAGAGCAAAGTAATGGAAGACGGAGATGAAGAAGTATACCAGACTGAGCTTGCTCAATTGTTCTCTGAAGAAGATGAGGTTTATATAATAAACAATTTTGTTTTTTTTGTTTAATGTTTGAATGTAAGGTTATATATATATATATGTGTGTGTGTTTCTTATGATTATTGTAGGTGAAGGCGTTTTTTGAGAGATTGGATGAAGAGCTAAACAAGGTGAACCAATTTTACAGGACAAAAGAGACTGAATTTTTGGAGAGGGGAGACATTCTCAACAAGCAACTGGAAATACTTGTAGACCTCAAACGAGTTCTCGGCGACTGGCGGCGGAAGCCTACTAATGGAATTCTTCCTCGTTCGTGGTCGTCTTCTGCTCGGAACTCTGATTTTTCTGGTCAGTTTGCTTTATTTAAAACTATCAAAATCAGTTCTTTAAAAATGAAACAAACAAATTTATGTTATGCGTTACAAAAAGAGTTTTGGTCAATTTCATGAGATTGAGGGTAATATAGTCATTTTAAAATTAGAACTTACATGACATGGCAAGTTATTATTGGCCTAATATATATATATATATATATATATATATATAACTGAAGTACAATTTGTCTGTATATTTTCACTTTAACACGTGCCACAACATAAACCCAAATTATTTCAATGAACATTTAATAAGTTAATTAAATTTACAAAATCATTTGTTTGGTCTTCATTCAATTATTGTTAAAACACTGGAATTAACCTGTGGAATCTTTGGGACTACAATTGAAAAAGTGATGAACCCATCATAATAAATGTTTGTTCTGGTTTCATTTATAATTCAAAGCAACCTTTGGCCCACCAAAACTCTTCCAGAAATGAGGAGATGTTGAGTAATAACCCAGAAAGGTGTTTATTTTAGTTCATATTTATTGAAAAATTTATTCATCTGTATTACAAAGAGAAGGTGGTGCTTGGTCAGTGTTCATATTCGAAGGTTAATGGATAGACATGTAGCAAGAAACAAATTGATAAAAGCAATATTAATTAATGCTGTCCACCTTATGTATAACTTTCTTCAGGTTTTTATTCTTTTTCAAACGCCTTTCCATGGACAGCTTGAGGAAAGTTCCGTGAAAAAATTGTACTCATATTGCGATTGACTGTTTATGAGACTTTCTCCTACATATGATCTGTCAACGCTGAATAAAAATCATTATATAATCTTGATCATTAAGGAAAATTAGTGCAATTAATCTTCCCGCAAATTGGCGTCTTTTCGTTTTATTATCTTAATTAACTATACGTATGATGCAGAGAGCCAAGCTTCATTGAGTGAAGCTCCCACTGAATCAACACAAACGGATGATGTGATAGCAGCACTAGAGAGAAATGGTGTGAGTTTTATTAATGCTACAACGAGGTCAAAAACAAAAAAGGGGAAGCCTAAAATGGCGATGAGGATTGACATTCCAGCTGAAACACCAACACGAACAATTTCAGCTGTTACATCCGTGCTATGGGAAGATTTAGTCAATAACCCTAAAAAAGAAGGGCCGGGAGATATCATTAATAGGAAGAAGATCCAGTGTGCTGAGAAGAAGATTAGAGGAGCTTTTGTGGAGCTCTATAGAGGTCTTGGCCTTCTCAAAACTTACAGGTAATATTTTGTTTTACTTTACTCTTTTAACGATAGTGAAAATAGTACTGTTCATTGTTAAATTTTTTTTTTTTAAATATTGATGGAAATTTAATTATATACAAAGGTTGCTCATGGATTGCAACATCAACAAATATTGCTTTGAATTTACGTAATATTGAAGTATGATTTCAGACGATATATATTTTCAAATTTGGTCTAAATTGATGAGTGAATCAGTGAATTCTAATCTTGTTTAACTAATTTTTGCAGCTCGCTCAATATGGTGGCATTTACAAAAATACTGAAGAAATTCGACAAGGTAAGACGGTCATATGCCAGCCTCATCACGCATGCACGGTATCTATACATAGAGAGAAACAAAACAAAACAAAACAAAACAAAACAAAACCCAGATTACACAAAGATAAATTGGTCATGTTGTTCACACTTTTGGTAAAAAAATTTGCTTTAACTTCGCACTTCAGATTTTTTCTTTTTTGGAAGGGAGCACTTTAGGTCATATTACTGAGCTTCGTGATTGAGCTTTTTTCCTACTATCATAAAAATTTAAAAGAAGTAAAGTTGAATAGATGGTACAAAAACAAATGATGAAGCACGAGGCAAATGTATATAGATATTGAATAGGAATTATATTTTGTTTAATGAAAGCAACTTTGGTAAAGAAATGTGAAAGCTTAATCGATTTTCTTTGAGAAGTAGAAAAACATATAACAAGACAAATGAGAGAACACATGGATAATGCTTGCATTTGGTATCTTGAACGAACAAAATCGTGTAGAAAACAATTAATAATATTGATGTATCTCACATGAGATATGTGATCCTCTGCGAGACCCTACAACTATACATACATATATATATATATCTGCCCATAACACTTAACCAAACAGCTGAATCTAATTTTTCAACCCAGAAAATGACTTGTAAGAGTAACAGGGTATGTATATTGTATGATAATTTATACTTTGTACAATTTGATAAGGAAAACACAAAGGAGAAATTGAATTTTACATACTGTTAACAGTTAAGAACTGTGTGTTTAACAACATATATGTTGAACAAGTTATTTCTCATGTGAACAGGTATCAAACCAGAAGGCATCCGCAAGTTATCTACAAGTAGTAAAGAGGTCTTATTTCATTAGTTCCGATAAGGTAAGGCATTGAAAAGTTGATAAGTTTAAGTTCAACACGTAAAAGTATACTCCTTTTACATATTTAGGTTTATGTCTCCACCCACAACTTCCTTTCTCAAGCTCAAAATGTTTTCAGTACGTTTTTACATATGTTGATTTGATTACCAGCTAAAAAATGTTATTGATGTGATACCATAGTTGATTAAGTGCATATATATATATATATATATACACACTATACTTGGAAAATGAGCTATATTTTTTTTTTTAAGTAGATGCTATAATAAGTGAAATATTATATTTGGTCTGATAAGGTGGTTAGACTAATGGATGAAGTGGAGTCCATATTCACAAAGCACTTCGCCAACAGTGACAGGAAAAAGGCAATGAAATTCTTGAGACCCCAACAACAGAAGGACTCTCACATGGTCACCTTTTTTGTTGGTAATAAACTCTCCCACTTTCTCTTTCTATTACCATTACAAAATTTCCAAAAAAAAAAAAAAAAAAATCGCCCATAGTCACGAATCATGCATCGATCTTGCCTTTCATTTCATCAATGCTTGACAAACAATCATATCGTTGCTTAATTAATCAGGTGTTCATCATAAAAGTAGGATTAGTGCAATGGTATAAAGCCATTTAAAGAGATTTCCCACTTCCTACTATTGACAAAGAAAAAGCAAAGAAAAGGAGTGTTCAAACACTGCCTCCCGTCTATGGCTGGTCCAGTGAACATAGATAAAAAACTAGTTCAATAAATTAATCATGTAATGTCATTTCTTTTTCACTTTATAAGATAATGAAATATCGAATTTGATTGATGTTAGTCTCTTTTCTGCTACAAACCTGGCAGCTGCTACCCACTAATCCCCCCACTAGTGGAAACAATTTTTATTTGGTTCACATTGAGAAAAATATGTGCACAAAATTAGGCCACGCTACCAAGCTTTCCGGCATTTGATGTGCAGTAAATTCTATTTTCATGGTAACTGAGTTTTCTTCTTGTCGTTTTTGCAGGGTTGTTCACCGGTTGTTTTGTATCACTATTTAGCGTATACGCAATATTGGCTCATTTGTCTGGTATTTTTTCCGCTAGCACAGAAGTGGCTTACATGGAAACAGTCTACCCAGTTTTCAGGTAAATTTATTAACTAAAGAAAAGCACTCTTTCGCTTTTACACTGATTGGTATATGAAATATGGACAGCTAGATGGGCCTGAGTCCTCTCAGTTACATGAGTAGGCTTACATGAAGCCCACTTATTATCATTATACTAAGAGGGAAATTAATTTATGAACTTCTTTAAACTTTAGAATATGAAATACTAATGGTAAATTTATGGGGTTATGCAGTGTGTTTGCATTGTTATGCTTGCACTTGTTTATGTATGGATGCAACTTGTTCATGTGGAAGAGTACGAGGATCAACTGCAACTTCATTTTCGAATTTTCACCAAGCACTGCACTCAAAAACAGAGATGCATTTCTCCTTTGCACCACTTTCATGACTGCTGTGGTTGGGGCAATGGTTGTTCATCTTCTCTTACGAGCTAGCGGCTTTTTACCGAGCCAAGTTGATGCCATTCCTGGAATTCTCCTTCTGGTTAGTGCTATTATTCATTTGAGGTGCAAGAATTTTATACATTTTTGAGTTTTGAATAACTAATTCTCAATCTTTTGCATCCGTGCCCAGATTTCATGTTGCCTGCTCGTATGTCCATTTGACATTTTCTATCGCCCCACACGCTATTGTTTCCTTCGAATTATGCGTAACATAATCTGCTCACCATTTTATAAGGTACATTATAAATGCACTGGCAACATTGGGATGGGGTTAGTTTGATTTGAAGATTTAGAATTAGCCACTAAAGCATCATGTTCATGTATGCAGGTTTTGATGGTAGACTTTTTCATGGCTGACCAACTCACTAGCCAGGTAATCACTCTAGTCAATAATCAATAGAAGGGAAATTTCATTAAACCTCTCACTATTTGTCCTCTCTGATCATCAACAACAATTGTTTCTTATTACAGATTCCATTGTTGAGACACTTGGAATCCACAGCATGCTACTTTCTTGCTGGAAGTTTCAAGACACACGAATATGAAACCTGCAATAATGGAAGACTATACAGGGAACTAGCTTATGTCATATCGTTTTTGCCATATTATTGGCGTGCAATGCAGGTAAACTCAAACATCTCCTTTCACATTGTGAATATCTTTTATACACATTTAACGAATCTTTCCGTGCTTATTACTAATTCATGGCCTTTCGATGTTACTAATTAGTGTGCACGGCGATGGTTCGATGAAAGTGATGTTAACCATTTAGCTAACATGGGGAAGTACGTTTCAGCCATGGTGGCAGCCGGTGCCAGGATAACCTACAATAGGCAGAGCAACCACCTATGGTTTGGCATAGTCTTGGTGACTTCAGTGGTGGCTACAATTTATCAATTATACTGGGATTTTGTCAAGGATTGGGGACTCTTGAACCCAAAATCCAAGAACCTTTGGCTCAGAGATGACTTGATTCTCAAGAGCAAAAGCATCTACTATATGTCCATTGTGAGTCATCCTTCTCGTAGTAAATTAATTATGCTTGATTAGATTATGAAAAAGGGTCCTAACAGAGTGAAAAATTTTGGATTAATTATAGGGCTTGAATGTGGTTCTAAGAATTGTTTGGGTGGAGACTGTGATACGTTTCCGTATTAGCAATGTTGAGGGGCGCATGCTAGATTTTTTCATGGCTTCATTAGAAGTTATTCGACGAGGGCATTGGAATTTTTACAGGTACTCATTAATTCTCTAGGGCATTAGTGAGGTTAATTCATGATTTATGGCTCATTTCTACAATTAATGTACTGATAATTCCTAATGAAACAGGTTGGAGAATGAACATCTGAGCAATGTTGGGAAGTTCAGGGCAGTGAAGGCAGTTCCTTTACCATTTCGCGAGACAGATTCGGACAGCTGATGAGCTGTCTTATTAATAAATGTATAGAAGTACTTAATGGCTGACAGAGCAGGGAGGTTATATTTTGCAAGAGGGATCCACATTTTATTATAACAATGTGGGAGATCTCTCTGCCATTCATCAAAATCATCACAGATTCGATCGGCTCCATTGTCAATTGTAAAGCTCCAAGTGTAGCAAATAAATTAAGCAGCATATATGCTTGTAAATTTGGCCCTGTAACTTGGATATAATCGTCAACATCCCACATCATAATTGGGGTTGATTTCTAAGAATCAAATATTATAAGAGCATCAGATTACTAGATTGCTTTTCACAATTACTGTAACTGAGAAATGATCATCAAATCACTTTGAATTCATAGTTATTGAACAACTGATTTAAAACCATTCACCATAGTCATGTTGACTCTAACTATGCTCTTGAAAATCTTCTGAATCTCATAGCCTCTTATTGAATCTTCTTCGAAGGGCGTTTTTGAGTTTTACTTTATTGTTCAAATTTTGTAGTAAATTCAGATTTCTTTTGCTTCCCACCTCTGGAAGATTTACTTACTTACTGGAGAAGTTTTATTCTCACTGAGATATAGTAATCTGTCATGCTTGATCATCTAATTCCGCCTTCCTATATGTATCTTTATATCTTATCAAGTATGTATGTATTTATATTGTTAATTGTCATTATTGGTTTCAGAGTGTCTGCTATTTCCTCAATTTATCCTTTCCATTATGTCACCTCACATGGATTAGAAAGTCGCCATCTCCATCAATGTTCTTGTATGATATTTGGTTCTATGACACTGTGTAGAATACACGCATCAACAGATCAAAGTTTAAAAAGATAATCGAAATCGTTTTTCTATTTAGTACAGATAATCCAGAATACTTGAACTTCATATCCACGCTTCCACAATGTATAAACTGCATTTACTGTTTCCATCACAACAGAGGCAACTCCGCCTGCTAAATCATCTCTACATTACAGGTCCTTGTTGAACTTTATTCAGTCCGAAAAAACCTGAAGTAGGAACTAGTAAACTTAAGATGACTGTTTTTTCTTTAAAGAATCTGCGATCTTCTTTGAGAGACAGTAAGCAGTGGACTGGATGGTGATCATGGGATTAACTCCAACAGCACTTGGAAGAACACTGGCATCACAAACAAATAGCCCTTCTGCTTCCCAACTCTCACCATTCTCATCAACTGCGCCCTCTTTTTCATTAATCCCCATTCTGCAGCTTCCCATTTGATGGGCAGAGCCGTACAGCGTCCACTTCTCCTCTTGTGACATTGCCCCTTCTGCCGGATAAACCGTGTCCAGAAATTCCTCCAGTTCCTTTTTACTAATTCCTTTACATTTGATTCTCTGCCCATCACTCCGATGGGTGCCAACCTCAACGGCTCCTGCTGCTACTAAAATTCTCAATGCCTGCCTCAACCCTGCCTTCAAGTTTTCTTTGTCCAATGGACTTAATTTGTGGCTTATCCGTCCCTCTACCTTAACTTCTCCGGCTCCCCGATCTCTAACTATTGTTATGAGGTGAGCAGTTCTTGCATACTTCAACATCCTTTGCTTCATATCAAATGCAGATTCCCAAGGGCATAGTACTCCATATTTAGCTGGCGATAATTCAGGAGTTTCAATGAGGGCTCTTACATTGGAATATCCTGAAACCACCTTATGAGCTGATGTGATTATACCTCCCTCATAGGCATTTCCCTTGAATTCTGAGTTTGAGTCCGGAAAGTATCCCCACGCCATCAACACCGGATGGAGATGAAGGTTTTCGCCAATGTTCGGATTCTTCAATCCACTAGAGATCAGTAAAGGGGGTGTCAAAAGAGCCCCACACGCCGAGATGGTTGCTTTCGCTTCAATTTGCAGTTTCATTGTGATGTTATTACTTAAAGCTTTTACTATCACACCTGAGCATTTCTTCTCCCTCACACTTCCATTCTTGTTCCTTTCCAATATTAATCTTTCAGCTTTGCATCCTGTTAAAATGACTGCCCCATGATTTACAGCATCAACCAACCATGTTCTATCAGTCCCCTTTTTGTCTCCTTTTCTGCAACCATAACTGCAAGATCCACAGTAATGATTCTCTGAAGAATTCCGCGCCACCCTTTCAACTTCAAGGCCAAGATTTTCACACCCTTTCCGAAGAATTTGATTCTGAAACCCCTCCTGCACACAATTCTCCGTAACACCAATTCTTTCACACACAGTATCCATGGCCGAGAGATACTCATGGCTTCCAAAGAGAGTGAGCTTGTGGTACTCTGCCCATTCCTTAAGCAAAGACTTTGGTGTCTTAATGCACACCGACCAGTTGACAGCCGAGCCACCACCAACGGTTGATCCTGCCAGAATCATCACTTTCCCATCAACGGTTGTAAGAATTCCTCCTGATTCATACAGTTGATCATGTGAGGGACCATCAAGGAGAGAATAATCTGAAGGTGTAAAGTAGTTCCCTTTCTCAACAACAATGACCTTCTGCCCGGAACTTGCCAGAACAGCGGCTGCAACGCCTCCGCCGCAACCGGAGCCGATAATTACAACATCACAGTTGATTTTGAGGACATTCTGCTCGGAACGTTGTGCAACTCTGAGACCTTTCTGGGTGAATGAGTGGGGAAGGGTGTTCTCAGTTTCATACATAGTTTCGATGATTCCCTTCTGAAGTGGCCTCTCTTTTTGAGAATGGCACACATTCTCATCAATGTCTACGTGATAGTTAATGGCTTCCCATGCTGGGTTGCTGCCATTTTCGTCAACCTGTAAAAAAAAAAATGGTGAATTTGATTATTTTAAAAAATGGTGTAGTATTTCATTTACATTAATTATTCTAATTATTTAATTACTTCAACATTGTATTTTAAAATTTAAATAATTTATTGATTTTAAGTACAATTTTTTGTTTTTGAAAACAAGAGACACAAAGATACAACAAATGCTATGAAAATGTTTTTAGTATAAATAAGTTAAAATACTTTTGATATCTGTTTTCGAATTTAATTCTAAAAGTTAATGTAAAATTATAAAACAATTAAAAGTCATTTTCACAGTTTTCTGTAATTTTTAATTCTTAATTTTTTTTTAAATATTATGTCAAACTTATTTTCAAATATTAAAAATATTAAGATACAACTAAAAAATGTGAATTATATATAATTTTCTGAAATTATTTTTGAAAAAAAAAGGATTTTCTTCGTAAATTTTTTATATTCTTATTTTAGTAGATTTTTAACATCTTTCAGTTTCTTCTCTGTAATGTTTTAATAATTACATCAAAAAAAAAAAAAAAAACACTAAGTTTTTAAATGATATGAGTATGAGAGTATGACACCCCAAAGGCCCAAATCGTAAGCCGTACCAGCTCTGTAACGATACAGTAGCAAAGTTTTGAGGCCCTAGAATTGGGCCGTGTATAGTTTTGAGTCCTGCAAAGTTTCTATTTATTGATTATAGCTTCAGCTGAAACTAAATTTATGTATATAATAAAGAATATGACACTACGTACTTCAAATCTGTCAGCAAAAATAAATTTCTCTTTAAATGAATTGAATAGAAATTTAAAGTATGAGAAAGTGGTTTGGTTGGAAGTAAAATCTCTCTTGAATCTTTCCTAATTTAGTGTTATTCAACTAACACAATTTAAAAAGACAATGACATTTCAACAGATGATATTATTCTTTTCTACTTAACTTATGGCCACAATTTTTTGTAACCTGAAGATCTTTTTGTCCTTTATTCATATAAAATTTAATATTTTTTATACAACAAATACAAACTTTTTATACAAATTCATTTATACTATTTTAATGTAATTGGATGATTTTGAATTAAGAATAAACTAAACAAATAGAGTAGATAATATGTCAAATGTGAGTTTGTATACATAATATTGCTCTTTAAAAACTACCATATAACCGGACTCTTTGTACGTTCAAATTACGTATTGAACAAAATTAGTTATTAAAATATTGATTAATTTTACCCTAAATCAACATAAACAAATTGTGTTGATTTAAAAGGTATTAGTGAAAAATGATGGAATAATATACTAAGAACAATAGAAGAAAATTTCAAAAACTTTAAAGAACGAAACTTGTGTTTTGATGTAGCTTCTCCACAACCTAGACAATGCTATCTTTATATTTTTCAAATTGGATCGAATTTTTTAAAATTTGCAATTACGTTCATTTTCTTCCTTCTTGCTAAAAATTAAGACTAATCCCAATTCCCAAACATCACCTCTAATCTAATCAGAGTTGTGCAAGTCTTAATTGCATGACCCTCTCAGAGTTTTCCACGTAACCATCATCACTTAATTCCTATTTAATTGCTAAGATGAGACTAATCCACAAATTTATGGAATACCTTAGTTTAGTCCTCTAGTAGATTCCTTCATTTTATTATGAAAACAACAGTATGGGAGACAATAGATATTTAACCAACCCTTGGGTGATCAGACGGCCAACTAGGAATCTTAGATATGTTACTCATGAGTTCGACTCCCTTCGATTACTAATAAGGATGGCCATTAAAAGATTATCCGATCGTTAATTTTAAGACTCCAGATGATTAGTTAAGGTGTATGTAAATAGATATTTTGATAATCGAAGATGTTTTGGGCCAGTTTACATGCACCTCAACTATTATATTATAGGCTAAATAGTATTTTAAACCCAATCTATCGTGAAAGAACATTGTACCCCCTTGGGTTGGGAAACACCCAATATTACCCCTTTTTCTTCTTTTGAATTTAGGCTTTAAAACTTAACCATGAAAGGGCACCCTTGTCAATTCACCTCACATACGTAACATTGTAGAAAGAAAAAAAAAAAGAAAATGATTTAACATTATGAATTGTCCGTCTGGGATAGATTGGGGTGAAAATCATTAAGCCTATATTATAAAATAAAATGTATTGTAGTCGGAACAAAACTATCTGAATTAATTTTTTACTAAATGTTTCTGTTCCCCTGCCGTATGTCTTGCCCAGAATTAATGAAAGAAAACAAATAAGGACCTGTTTGGGTGTCCCAAGAAAAACGAAAAACTTAACTGAAATATTAATTTAATTATAAATTAATTCTGACCGCTTATAATAGCGTTAGGTTTTGCATCAGAATTATGCAAATATTTAATGAAAATGCATCTGATTGAAATGTATTGAGCAATCAAGAAAGCTTTAAATATATATAATAAAATCAATAAAATTCAGCTAGTGATAATGAAGAGTAGAATTACCCGGGATAAGAAAACGAAGAGGCATAGAGCCTTTATGTACATAAATGCAACTCGAACGGGCGTCAGAAACCAATGTTTGAACCATTTTTGTAGAACCTTCTCCCGATTCTCGAATGACATACACGAAAATCTGTTGATGAAAGGCCATTTTTTGCTCAAACAAAGCGACCCACAAAGCAAAAACGTGCCCAACTTTGTGGAAAGGATCATCAATATTACTCTAATCAAGATCCCCGCTTCTATTAGGCCTCTTTTCACTAAAATTTCAGCAACCTGCATCAATTAATTAATAATTAGTGTTCTTCTCAAGTTTTCAAGCATTAATAAGAGTTGGTGAAACAGTGAATTACCTCGTCAGGGATGGGAGCTTGAGAACCAGAAGCTTTGTAAAAATATTCCAAAGCCTTATTGCCTGCAGGATGGTCTTGTTTTTCCTCCAAGGGAATTGAAGGTAAAATGGTGTCGCAAATGGTGGCCAGTGTTTGCATCTCTGCTGAAGAGAAGCCATGGCTGTAGTTGCTTCTTGCTTTTCTCCTCCCACTCAACAAAGGGTGGCATTCTTTTCCCATCTCTGGATTATCTTCTCCACTTCAAACTCTTATACAATAATATTATTTTGCTTCTTCACTTGAAATTAAACAAATATGGTTTGTCCGTCACCCTTTATATACATTGAATAAACGAGGGGAGTACAGTAACTGTATATACTGTTTTTGTGGAGGAATTTAATGACATATATCACGTACTATATACGCCTAAAAATATATAAATAATAAACTTTTTCATGTACTATATATATACACGTGACACAAACTTTTTTTTCTCTATCAATTTAATGCTTTACGTGACGCAAACTTTTTTTTTTTTCCCTATCAATTTAATGCTTTCCTTTTTCTCTCTCATCTCCCAATTAATTTACTTGCTCCATTGAGAACCACTCGTTATTTCTTATTCATTCTACCTTTCATTGGATGGGATAGCGCCCACTGGACCTGAAATTCTAGTTGTTTCCATAGTCCTGACCCCAATTCCATCAATGTCGAAATTAAAACCTTTCAAACCATAATTTCTCTCTCTCTCTCTCTCTCTCTCTATGTATATAAATTTTTCTATCGTTCATCCAATAGTCTCTCAGCCAGTATTTCATATATTATCTGCTCTATCTAAACCTAATAAATCAAAGGAAAAATTCCCAAACAATATTAAATGCGTTTAACTTGCTGATGCTATTATCACATGCTTGTATAGATCGAGCTAGAGAACATTTTGCGATAGAGAAATAATTGATGGGATTAATGTTTGTATAGGGTTACGTGTTTTATTTAGGTCCAGGTTTTAAGAAAAATTAAAAGTTAGGTGGAGTAAATTCGTGATTATATTTAATCATTAATTACTTAATTTCTTAAAACCTGTAATAACTTCAAAAATTCGGAAAGCCAGGTGGGTTTGCTTGTCTACTTGTACAAGTCATCTCGATCTAGATTCCGCCATGCTAGAGATGTCTCCTGAATTATCTTTTTTTGTTGGTTTTCTGGTTACTTTTTCATAGATTTGGTTAGAAATTGCTATATTTCAAATGCGTTTTAGGTAAAGTTTAGATCGTTTTGATTAGTCATAATCTGCTGCTTACCATATCAAGCCAATAAAACCATTTTGATAAATTATCATATTTATTATGCTCAATAAATTAGGGTTTATCTTTTTGGGAAAGAGATAGCTGGATTTACAAAGTAAAGAATTCATGTGATTAAAGTGAGGAGGTTGAAAATAGATTAAAAAGAAATGGTTCAAATTCAAAGTAGAAATTTTGCATCATTAATTTTTTCTACCTTTTATAGGAATAGAAAGAAAACGAATAAATCAACTTAACTATCTCTATGTGGTCGAACGGTTCGATAGAGACTTTTGAATGTATTACTGAAGAGGTCTTGCGTTTGAGTCTCTCATCAAATGCTAATAGAGGTAACCACTGAAGTTCTTACTCGACCGATAGTTTTAGAATCTCGGAAATTTAGTTGAGGTGTGCATAAGATGGTCCGAACATCTGTGGTCATCAAAGAAACAAAAAATGATTCAACCTAATTTTATGTAGAAGTTTCCATTATTTTCCATAATTCTATATGATTAAGTTAATTATATTATATGCCTTATATCGAAGGGAATTTGAAAGAAAAAATGGGTCATACTCATGCCCCTCAAATTAAATGTGCATAATTTAAAGAAAACTTTTACGGGTATAAGTTGACGATGTTCATTAACATGTGTGCCCTTGTATTTCTGTTCCCTTTCATTTAATCACATTGATTAGATGGTTTCCTCATGAAATCAAATCCAATCAATAAGTTCAACCATATCTCATATCTAAATCATGGCTGTCCACCATCCAACACAACATATTCAACTGGCAATATAATTCAGAACCAATACATATTAAATCTATTTTTTAATTAATAAATCTTTAATCTTTAATCTTTAATCTTTATATCTTTTATAGAGGTGGGCAGGACCAGTCGCCATGAGCAGAATGAGGGCCCAGACTGGTCCTATGGGCCTTGACAATTCCACCCCTCTCTCTCGATCTTTTTTTACATTTGGGGGGAAAACAAAATTTTATAGGGGGTTTTCAGTATTTTTCAGGGGTAGATTAGTAAGTTTCTAAAAATTTAATTTATTTTAAAAAATAATAAATTAATTAATAGTTAATTTTAATTTTTAACATAAATTCACGTTTCATACATTTACGCTTCACAAATAAGCAATTAAATAAATTTTTTTAATTAAATTATTCATTTTCATCGTCAACAATATTTACGTCATTCAAATATGTATTCCTAAAGAGTTCGAGTAGTTCGGGATCTTCAGGGTGTTGTTGTAGTCTTCTTTCTGCATGAGTCTAATCTCGTAAACACATTATCACTTCAATCATCTCATCGGTTAAAGAACATCTTCTGTCTTCAACAATCCGACCACTCGTTGAAAATGTTGACTCGGATGTAATTGTAGAAACCGGCACAGATAAAATGTCACATGCCATTTGGGCTACAATGGGGAATCGACTTTCATGTTGGTGAAATCTGTAATTTGTTTCGCGGTTGACAAAGCTTTTTCCAACATCAAGTAGGTAGAGTTCCAACGGATAGACATGTCTATACATAACTTCAAAGGTTGAACCGGTGGATCCTCTTGCTTACAATATTTGACGTACTCCTGCCATCTTTTATTGCTACCGCCGACGATAAATCCGATAGCTCTACGCACCCTCTCCATCTTCAAATGTATAACATCTAAACCTGCTTTTAACTATCAAATTGATGATGTGGCAAGCACATCTCTGGTGAAAAAAATGCCTTCACTATGCGGATCCAATCTCTTTTCAAATAAAGAGATTGTCGCGGTGTTAGCAGCTGCATTATCAAGCGTTAGTGCTACAACTCTGTCAGTTAATAAATATTCTTGCAAAACTTCAAGAATTGTAAAATAAATAGTTTCAGCACTATGTTTTTCATATAATGGTTTAAAACCTATCATTTTTTGTTGTAAACCCCAATTGTGATCTAAGAAATGTATTGTGACAGTTAAAAAATCGGTTTTTGATATACAAACCCATATGTCTGATGTAAGTGCGATAGATATATTCCTAAAATTTTGAAATTCGTTTTTAAGTTTATTATTTATTTTATTATAAAGTTTTAGTATATCTCTTCTACTTGTAGTTCTACTAACAGGGGTATATGCTGGACAAAATGCAATTTTAACCATATGAATAAAAAAAGGATTTTCAGATAAACAAATAGGAGAGTCCGTAGCAACTATATATCTTGCTATTTCCTCTCGTGCAACATGTGCATTGTATCGCCATGTTGAGAGAGTTGAGGATTGTGGATTAAAATTAAGTTGAGTTTGAATTTGTCCACCTGATCCGCTTGAAGATGCATCGGGCAACTGCATTATTTGAGGTTGCTTCTTCTCCATGTGTCATCACATCGTCAAAGTCCCCTTCTCAGCGCCAATAATGGTTCCACATAAATTACATATCCCACACGATTCTTTCCCCTCCCCATTTGTCTTTGGCCATTTTAATTTGGTGAAGTATCGCCATACATCGGACACGACCCTCTTTGACGGTCGAGGGGGTTGGGTTATGCCCTTGCCCGTTGACTCGCAGCTCGCATGTGTTTGGCTACACCTCATCCCGACCGAATGTGGTTGTGGAATTGCAGCTGCTTCCTCTGGAGGAAATGGTGAAAATGGATTGAAGCCTTCCATTTCTTTGGTGGATGGAACGTAAAACTCATTTGCGGAAGCCATTATAAATTTATGATAAAATAATAAATAATTAAAATGAAAAGAAATTAAATAATAATATGAAATTATGATAATATTGAATAATATGAATAAATTATAAATATAAATATAAATTGAATGAGAAATTGATTGGAGATTTGGAGTAGAGAGATTGAGAGAATGAGAGATTGATTAGTGTGGAAAAAATGAAAGATTTTAGGGTTTATTTTAGTTATTTTTTTTTTTTGGTGGTGGTGGTATGGGGGGGGGGGGGGGGGTAGGTTATAATTTATATTATAACCGTTGGCTGGCATGTGACCGTTGCCAGCCAACGATTAGTAAAACTTTTTTTTTTATAAATTTTATAAAATTTCATTTTAGTCCTCATAATTTATGTTTATTTTAAAATTGGTAGGGGGTATTAGTAATTATGCAGTGGACTACATTGAAAAAATCTAAAAAAATTTGGGCCCAGGCTGGGGCTTTGGAGGAGGGCCCTCCTACTTAGGCCTGGTCCCATTCCTAGGACCGGGTTTTTCCCAAATGCCCACCTCTAATCTTTTATCTTGCGATCTGGTAGCTAGCACATGGACATAATTCCCTTCATAATATATTATAGAGTAAACAACATTTTCCCACCCAAGGTTTGGCGAATCTACAAGTTCCCACCCCTGGTTTCATAAATTGTAGATTCTCATCTTTAAATTAACAATAAACTGTTTAATCTAACAGTTAAAAGGATAAAATGGTCATTTCAAAGATAAAAAATTCAAAATAACCCTTCACTTCTCAAATTCACCCCAGCAGAAAATTTATGGCGCCGTCGACGCCTCCCAACACCACAATTACAATTCCCTCAACCCCCACATCAAAACCCCTAACCTCTCCGCTTGATTGAACCCCCCAATTGCCGGCCGCCGCTCTTAGTTTCAGTAGGCGTTTCATCTACATTCTTGCAGGTGCTGACACCGAAAACCACCCCCAACATCACCAATAGCATCACCAGCTTTCCCGTACTAAAACCCCCAACATCACTGATCGCAATTGACCGCCAATCACTGCCGCCTCTCCCTTAGGTTTTCGTGTTTTGTCGCGCCTTTCCAACCAAATTCTAGCACCTCGCCAAGGTGCAATCGAATGAAAAAGTTAGGGGTTTTGGTCAGGAGGATAAGGGGATGCTGATGGTGGTGTCGGGAAGGTCAATGTTGTCAGCATCAGGCCATATTTTTGGCTTGACCGGGGTCTCCTCTGGGGGTTATTTGAGAGAAATTTGAGATATGGTGATTATTTTGAGAAAAAAGTAACGGTGTTAATTTAAGGGTGGGAATCTGTAATTTATGAAACCACTGCAGATTCGCAAAACCTTGGGTGGGAAAATGTTCGTTTACTCTGTATTATAATATATATGTA